CCCCCTCCACGGCTTCCAATTCTCTACCTACATCTTTGAGATTGGTGTAAGGCCCCCTCTACGGCTTCAAATTCTCTTCCAATTCTCTACCTACATCTTTGATATTAGTGTAAGGCCCCTCCACGGCTTCCAATTCTCTACCTACATCTTTGAGATTGGTGTAAGGCCCCCTCTACGGCTTCAAATTCTCTTCCAATTCTCTACCTACATCTTTGATATTAGTGTAAGGCCCCCTCCACGGCTTCAATTCTCTACCTACATCTTTGAGATTGGTGTAAAACCCCCTCCACGACATCCAATTCTCTTCCTACATCTTAGAGATTGGTGTAAGGAACCCTCCACGGCTTCCAGTTCTCTACATACATCTTTGAGATTGGTGTAAGGTCCCCGCCACAACATCCAATTCTCTACCTACATCTTTGAGAATTGTGTATGGCCCTTTCCACAGCATCCTATTCTCTACCTACATCTTCGAGATTGGTGTAATGCCCCTGCCACGGCTTCTAGTTCTCCACCTACATCTTTAAAATTGGTGTAAGGCCCTCTCCAGGGCTTCCAATTCTCTACCTACATCTTCGTGATTGGTGTAAGGCCCCCTATACGGCTTCTAATTTTCTACCTACATTTTTGAGATTGGTGTAAGGCCCCCTCCATAACATCCAATTCTCTACCTAAATCTTTGAGATTGGTGTAAGGCCCCATCCACGACTTCCAATTCTCTACCTACATCTTTGTGTTTGGTGTAAGGCCCCCTCCATGATATTCAACTCCCTACCTACATCTTTGAGATTGGTGTAAGGCCCCCTCCAAAACTTCAAATTTTCTACCTACATCTTCGAGATTGGTGTAAGGCCCCCTCCACGGCTTCCAATTATCTACCTACATCTTTGAGATTGGCGTAAGGTCCCCTCCATGACATCCAGTTCTCTACCTACATCTTCCAGATTGGTGTAAGGCCCCCGCCACATCATCCAATTTTCTACCTACAACTTTGAGATTTGTGTAAGACCCCCTCCACGACATCCAATTCTCTACTCACACCTTTCAAGATAGGAATAAGACCCCCACTGAGGCATCCAACTCTTAATCTTCGAAGTAATTGTCTAAATGCTTATTCTCATCCTCTATAAACACTTATAACTTGATAACTAAAAACCCACTCTTCAATCCCCAGAGAGAGTTCCTAATCCTTAATGTTGATCAGATATTCACTTGCTAATTTCAAAGCGGAAACCAATAACACACACAATTCTACACCTCATTCGACTTTTATTAACTTAGGAGTCTGTGTTGGTTTTGTTGATCTCGTCAGTCAACTCCAATACAGGAGGTGTGCTTGCCCAGTACATCACACTTAATGGGGGTCCATTTGTTGAACTCACTTTTGGTTGAGGTTTAGTTTTTCCTCTTTAGTAGCCTCTTTAGTAGCCTAGGGTGGTCTAGCCATAAGAGTTTTCTGTTGACTATTCCTAGAGAACTAGAAAAGGAACCCTCACAATTATAAATTCTAAACTACCCTTTGCTCAACTTGAAGCTCCATATTAGTCCTAACCTCTGACACTTAGTAGATGGGGGAGCTCAAGGATAGTTCTCATAGGACTGCTTGAACTTAGGGTTGACACTGGATGTTGTTCTAGAGCTAGTTCACTCACTTACAATCACTCTCACCCACAATCACACACAACCATAAAACCGCAATTATTGGCTTTGATCCCTTGATCTTTTGGGAAACTCATTTAGATGGTCCTCTAAACCCACTAGCCCTAGGCTAGGGTTTAGCTAAGACCAGTGCATAGAGGACCCAAATAGGATTCCATTAGTCCATAGCTCACACAGGGTGGTTGGTACCCCAATTCTATCAAATTGTCCAACTTGGCCATTTGCCCCCAAATCCACCAAAATTACCTAAATTCTTTTGAAACCCTAAATTTGGTCAAAATCCTCAAATTCACCCAAAATATCCAAATTTATTCAAAAATCTTCTCAAACCATTTGAAGATACCAAAATTACCCAAAACCACCACAAAGGCCAAATTTACCAAAAGCCAAAATTCACAAAAATCCCCCCAAAATTACCAAAATTACAAAAATCCCCTTGGCACCCAAAACCTCCAAAATCACTTCAAAAGTTTCTAAAACCAATTTGGACCCTCCAATTGAGCCCGATTTAAGACCCTCCAATTGAACCCAATTTGACCAATTTAATCATTTTGACCAAAACCCCCAAGTTGCCTTTCAAGGCCCAACTTTCCCAAATTTACCCCAAATGTCCTTCAATTTGGTCCAAATTTCCTCTAATTTCAATCCTAAACTCAAATTCACCTTCCACATGAATAATTCAACTACAACTGACCAAATTCAACTAAATTTAAGCTTAATTGGTCCATGCTTTGAGCCCAAGTTTGATCTAAGTCCAGCCCTAAATTTTTGCCCCATGACTTAATCCCACAAAATTGAACCCCATAGCCTACTCAATTCGGCACAATTTATGTTGAAAACTCTTCATAACATTCATAAACATAAAATTTGACCATCAATTGGGCTTGTTAAAGCCTCAATTACACTCAAATTTGATCCAAATCCAAAAATCCCCAAGTTACCAAATTGATTGCCCTAACCCCAAAATTGACACCTAATTTATGTTGAAAACTCTTCATGATGTCCTTTAGACCATTTTCAACAATCAATTTGGACATATCCCAACCTCAGCCCAACCTAGACCGAAGTCTAGCCCAACATGCCCAAATTGACCAAAATCCCATAATCCTTCAAATTGATCCCCCAATTGAACTCAAAATTATTTCAAACCTTCACAAAAAATCATCATTACAATCATCTACACAATTTTGATCAATTAATTGGGCTCAAAGTCATGGCTAGCTAAACTCAAACCCAACCTTTGGCCATTTAGACCCACATTGAACCCATGCACTAAAATTGACCTAGCCATGTCAAATTGACCAAGGCAAGACTTCTACAGCCAACTTTTGGGTCCTAGTAACCAAGCTAAACCCACTTAACCCACCCTAGATGAGCCATGGACCAAAAATCCCCTAAATCAAGGGGTTTGTTTCCTAAATTGCTTAAATCAAATATATCTTTGCTAAAACCTATCACCAACCCAAATTAATTGTTGTGACAGATTCCTCTGTGGTTTTTAAGCCACCTAAGCACCTCCCCTACCATTGTTGGCTAGCCTAGTCACCGTAGCACCTCAAAATCGAGAGCCACCATACTTAAATCATCACCCAATTAACCCATCTGAGATGTCCCACTCCCATTGGCCAATTGCGCCGCTTGGCTCACCACCTCAGCAAGGCAACCAAAGTCAGGCTCTGAGCTCCCATCTCCGGCCATGTCTATATAATGTCCTCTTCATGGCAAAAGGTTGGGTGCTGAAATTTTCTCAAGGATGAGACCTCCTCAGTGCAACCTAACCACTTTCCTGCCCTAATTTCTCTTATCGGAGCTCAATTTCAGAGCTCAAATCCTTGCCAGAAATAGGACACTCTCCACACAACACCACACAAAACTAAAATCAAATTAAAATTGCTCAAATCTGCACCATAGTGAGACAAGAAGAAGCCCCATCAAAGCCCCCTCATAGAGAGCTTCTACCCTAGACATTGATCAACACCCAAATTGAGTCTTGATCAAATTTGGGTCAAGATATTTCACCACTACAAGCGGTTCAATCCCTAGCCACCTTCGATTGAAGCTTCCCTTCTCAGAGCAAAGGTAAAACCTCCTCACTATCAGGAGCTTGTTTTGATTCTACACTTGCATAGATCCAATTTCATGCCATTCTAGCCATATAGATAGCTTCTTCTAGCTAGATAAGTCTTTAGAAACAAACCCGAGTTGATTT